AATAAGACAATCAGCAAAGGACGACCATTATCCTTAGATTTTTTTCTAGATAAAGCACTACAAAGCAGCAAGGTAATATATGTAAGATGGCTCATGAAAAATAAATCATACCTCCGTTATGCCTTCCAATACTAGGATCAAACCCATCTGAAGAGTTGTGTCTTCTGCGATTTGCTTCATAACGGCTCTCTGCCCATGAAAAATTTTCAGAATGTTTCTCAAAGTTCAGTGATGACTGGAAAGGAGCATAAGTAGTAGACTGAGATATCTAATTATTAGCAAAACTGAGTTATCAGAGCCGATATGCAAATTACTCATGGTATATACAAACCATTTTAAAAAGGACTTTGAATGTCAGCCCATACGTAGCTCTCAAGCATGCATACGATTGGAACTATCTCATTATCTACCATGCTAGTAGAAGCTACATCCTCCACGTCAAGACAATGCAACACAGCTGCTAGTGTCACAAGGAAGGAGAAACACTATGTAGAAGTCCCAAGAATTTTCGTTTGGCAGCAAAGGTGCAGTGATGCACATCACGTTAGAGGTTAAACAGATAAGGAGTAAGAAAGGACTTAAGAAACCAGTTTTGATGGCAGAAGTACAGGATCTTGATTTCGGTAGTCAGACTACAGATCTGCACTGTACAGAAAGGTTGGAGAGGCTATCACTAGACACCTAAAAGCTCAGTTTATTAAGCCTTGTCATCACAATTTAGTAAGAAAAAACACAACTAACACAAAATACGAATAAAGAACTATGGAAAGTTGAAGGAGTTCATATTCATTAATATACTCTGTATTATCAGATAAGTAGATATGAGAAATTTTTAATTAATAAATATTTAATTTCAGTAGGAAGTACTTTATCAACTAAAATCCTGAGTAAAGAGTAGCACTCAAAAAGTCAAAACACATCTTTACGGGAACTCATTCCTTAGTGAATTAAACCTACAAAAGGTCTTACAGCAGCCGTCTTTCCTATCACTTCTGTCTGGCTTTACTATTTTAATACTATAGCGTATCTAATAAGAGAGTAGAAAAAATACCCTATTTTTCTCACTACCACAGCTCAAGAATTGAAGAACAAGTTTTCATCCTACAAGAGTAATGCTTAGTCCTGCTTTTGGAAGCACCACACAAGTGCCTAAGAGGAAAATGTGTTCCACAGCACTTGCCTGTCATACAACCCCCTTGCTTTTTCAAAATTAACTCACTGGGAATGAAGCAAAAATCCCATTTTCTCCAGAACCAAACCTCCTGAACACATATATGCCCACTGTGCTGCATGTAACCAAGAGACCCAGCACTTTCAAGTGCCAAATTAACTCTGAATGCATAGACGAACAGCTATGTCGAAAGGTACAAAGTCAGAGAAGATCTGATGACTTCAGGAAGCATCTGCTCTAGTGCACAAGGATTTATATGCTGCCTGAAGCTCTTTC